CAGGCAAGGTGTTGCTAACCGGTTAAGAAACCCAAACATAACAAGAGGGTAGATTATAGCACTGAAAACCCCTGAGACGTGTACAAGCACGGGGGCCTAGCAGAGGGCCGCCAAACACTACCAGTGGAACTATAACCACCTTAGGCAGACCCCCACCAGGCAAGAAAATGAAAAACAAAGAAAAACCCCGCAAAAGTACACCGTCTCCAGAGGCAACAGAAACCGGCCGCCGCTTAGGTGGCAGGCTGCGCAACACCTTGACGCCCTAACCAGCACAATACCAATCCCTACCCAGGGCCAAACAAGGGCCCCAAGCCCCAGCTGGCCCCAAGGGCGAGGCAAATGCCGAGCAGCAAGAACCTCTACGGGAATGGTTCCCGAACGCCCCAGGGAAGATAACCCTGTTACGCAAGGGCAGTACTCACAGGGCGCTTAGGAAAGTCAGCCACTAAGCACATGCAGCCCCGGCACTGATGAAGTACTCCTGGCCACCGCACACCACAACACACAGCAGTGAACGCCACACAAGGCAAACACCGCCTAGGAAACTGAGGCCAGAGAAGCGTCAATCCCGGTTGACATTAGCGAACGAACTGAAGCTTGGCAGCCGGCGCGGTAGGTCCGGGGCTCCCCCCTCCCCCTCCCGGGGTGGGGAGGGCTGCGCGGACGATCGGCGCGGCAGTAAAGTGTGATGTTTGCTTGTTTGCTTGTTTCCTTGGGATTGTAGGGAGTTTTCTACCTCTCTGTTCGGTTTTTGTTGTAGTTTCTTACCATGTGGGGTTTGTTTTGTTACGCCTACCTTTCTGGGTGCCTAACCCCGGTCGATGGCAGATAAGGAAAACCCCCAACCATATGGGGTTTTCCAGGGCCATTGCTATTGTGAGTTTTTTCCTCCTGGCGGCCTACGTAACGTGCTATAGCTACCCCACCCCAAGTGGACCCGTGCTCCCATCCCTCGTGTTATACACAGTGCTGTGCCATTAGTGAAATATTTTTTTAAATAACTTTTATTTTCATAGTAACTATGAACATTTTTGGCCAAGATTATGTCTGGTAGCAGCATCAATCGTTCTGGAGGTATTAAGAGAAAGAAGGTTGTCCAAGCAATTAAAGACAAGTTACGTGTTGTTCAACCAGTGAGGCGTCACAGGCAGCCAAATGCCTTCAACAAGTGAGGCGTCACAGGCAGGCCAAGCACCTTCAACAAGTGAGGCCTCACAGGTAACCCAAATGCCTTTAACCAGTGAGGCTTCACCAGCTGGCAGTCAAAACTAACTTTGCTTAATGAACTGTACAGTAATTTTAAGTGTTAATTTTAGTGTTGTGTTAGTATAGGTTATGTAAATTGTTAAGAATTCTTAACTTCAAGATGTGTGGCATCAATCAAGAAGACGAACACCAACAAGGTAAGTTGAGGTTTCTAGTTGAATATTTAATAATTATATGTGGCAAGGCAATTTAAATTATGTTGTTTGTAGTATAAAAATAGTTGGAAATGGTCACTTTTGGACTCGTAAGTGAAAAAAAGTACCATTATCCGAAAAATGTGATAATCCGGCTGGGAGTCCTTCCCATATCGTCCGGATGATCGAGTGGAGACAGTACTAAGCAAACGTCTAAAGCTGAACCCCTGAAACGTGTCCACTCACGAAGGCCAAGCAGGGGTACCACCAAAACACAATACTGTATATATACAAGAAGGACTCAAAAGGGTTAACAAAGGCAGAAAGAAAGGCAGCCCAAAGGGCAGTACTTACAGGGCACCTAGGGAAGGGAACCATAGGCGCATGCAGCCCGAGTACTGTAGAATATTCCTCCTGGCACACACACCTCCTGGAGAGAGAAACTACGCCACAAGGCACAGTAACTGAGAACAAAAACCGCAGCCATAGGCACCCAACCGGCAAGGAATCACATCTGCCAAGGACTGCGGGTTGGGCTACCGGCGCGAGGGTCTGGGGCTCCCCCTTCCCCTTCCCCGGGAGGAGGGGGTTGTGCAGACGGCTACGCGGCGACGTGATGACATCATGCTAGTTGCTAGTTTTCGCTTGGGGAGTTCTGTCCATTCGTTAGGCTTTTGGTAGCAATTTTCACCAGTATAGGGGTTTGTTTTGGAATGCCTACCTTTCTGGATGACAGACCCGATCAATGGTAGACATAGAATGCTTCCAACCACACGGGGGTTTCTATAGGCCATTGCTCCTCACGCCTCTCTGAGGGCCAGGTTCTGGCCGTGGTTCCCGGTAGGCAGATCTCCATGCACTTTGACTGATGTCAGAAAGCTAAATAAGTACATATCAGCCTGGATAGCTCCCAGAAAAAAGGATTGTTTATGAGCCAGGATGACTCTGGAACCTCATAATACACCCAATAGGGGAAATGAGGACCCAAACTCAAAAGAGGCTGGGGCCATTGGCAAGATATAAACTGGGACACACAGGAGGTAAGTTAAAAGTACCTTAAAAGTCTTCAAAGAGGAAATCTATGAGGAAGGAAACCCCCGAAAGGATACCCCTCAGCATGCTCAAAGACACCCAGAAGATAACCTTTGGGAAAGCCACACTCAAATCTAACTGCTACAGAGCAGGAGGTACAAAAACCTCTCCCCCCTGCACCCAAACACCCACTGCAGAAAATGCTAGTAATCATGAAGGGCTAAAGTGGACCAACAACCCCAATTCAGACTCCTCCCATGCCCTTGAAACACCAGTTGCGGGTTTCAGGGCAGTCATCGGTTATGCCCACCACCCGGGAAATACAGGCAGAGTTTAGGGGCAGAAGCTTTGAGAAGGGGGGCTGACTAGAAGAGGCCCAGAAGCCACAGCAAAACCAAGAGGCTCAACTGCTTCTGCACCCCACTCAGAAGGGGCAATCCCTGGAGCTGCCCTAGCCAAATCCCGGCTAATCCCTACCCTGAATTCAAAATCCTCAAGAGGTTTTGGGGATGGAAGCAAATGGGAACTACTTGGACAGGAAAGGAAAAAGTAGTGTGGATAGAGCCAAGGTTGAATTGACCAATACCTCCAAATCCAGGTCTCTAAAAATCAAGCAGGGCAGCTCCAGGGGCATCTAAATGAGCACACAACCTAGACTGCTGTAACACAGAAAACCTCACACAAAGAGCTCATCAGTCACTGCATGATGAGCCCACACACCATCAGGAAGGGTAGTGAGATGAGTAACATGATGGGAGCACTCTCCACCCGACTCAGGGTTGAATATGTCACCGATCCAACAGGCAGCATGATGGAGGCAGAACAAATGAACATCTGCTTGTGGCACTAACAATTGCCCCCATGCTCTCTGGTTTGTACTCTACGCTTCTCTTCAAATGCACAAGGAAATCTCATTAACATGATGTATAGATGAGAAAATCAGAAGGAGCCATGCAGAGGATTCAAACCTATAGTGCCAAGCAAATGCCTTAGACCACTACCCTACAACATGGTCAAAAGCAATGCAATGAAACCCTGGTTAGGCTTCAGTGTAAGCTTCATGATTCCTTAGAGGATTCAGTTGAATCCAGGGTCGCATTGTTTTGAGCACGTCGTGGTGTAGCAGTCTGAGATGTTTGCTTGCAAGTACCCAGAGCATAGGTTTGCCTCCTCATGACTCCTACTGATATTCTCATTGATACATCACGTTAATGTGATTTCTTTGTGCAATGTGATACAAGAACACCAAGTTTCAAGATGCCATAATCTGTCAGATTGAGTGAAGCATTAAGACAATCAATGACTGTTGGCAAATTAAAGAACAGGTACACAAAGATTTAATTAGACTATATGAACAGAAAAAATGCATAGATGTAAAATTAGAGACTTGACCTTAGTTGCCTTATACAAGAAAATAATATTGTGTGCACCAATAATACTAGATAATTGCCTTACTAACAATAACAGACTTTTTGGAGTTGGCACTTTGCTTATTTGTATATGCTTCATGCATAAAAATGAAATATAGGAGTGATTAACACAAAATTACTTGTAGGTCAAGTCCCTGTATTTGGACAGATCATTCTTAAAAGTTAATTTTCAAAATTCTACAAAAAGCCCTGAAAACGGCCAATTCCTGAGGTACTATATATATGAAAATTAAGATCGTAACACTGTGCCTCAGACAAATTTGTACTTAAACCACCCTACTATAAGTGCCTATTATAAAGCACCATATATTATAAGAGTCCCCCTACCTATTATGGAAAGGGAGCCGAGCGGACAGCACGCTGGACTTGTGATCCTGTGGTCCTGGGTTCGATCCCAGGCGCCGGCGAGAAACAATGGGCAGAGTTTCTTTCACCCTATGCCCCTGTTACCTAGCAGTAAAATAGGTACCTGGGTGTTAGTCAGCTGTCACGGGCTGCTTCCTGGGGGTGGAGGCCTGGTCGAGGACCGGGCCGTGGGGACACTAAAGCCCCAAAATCATCTCAAGATAATCTTATACAATAAGAAGTTTACACAAATGCTTATACCATAGGTACCACAATGGTGAGGAAGACAAGGGGCTTTTTGAAATGCAGGTGAGGTTAATGGATCTTTGTTCACAAGTTCAAGCTGAACATCAAAGTTCACAAAGAATCCTACTGTGTTTTTTTAGAGCATGTTTGTTTGTTCTTAGTGCCTATTATCACATTTGCAGCAGAACAAATAAACTTAAATAAACACACTGTATTTAAATAAGCAAATATATATAAGCATAACCTACACAACTAAAGGCAAGTTTTAGTGGATCCTCAACAGACAACACAACGCATTGTGCTAAACTATATCTCGGCCCTAAACTTGACTACACTAAACCTTCAATATCAACTTCAATATGAACAAATCTAAAATTTATATACAGAACAAGCCACAGTAAACTGTAAGGGACAATATTACACAATAATAATACTTAGCCACCAACAGAGCATAAAATCATCACGCTTACCCCTTGTAGACAGACAGACACTACCAAGGCTCCCAGGTACAGATGCTAAATGCAAACACTTATTTAATAGCTACCTTTTTCAATCCATATACCTGAGAAAACCCTCCAAATAGTTCTGCATCAAAGTCATCTGCTAATGGAGTTCGAGATTTCGTCCCACCCCCTTCCCGAAGCAGAATTTCAGACAACCAGCGACGAAGATTTTGCTGCGATTTTCGATTGGTCAGATCGTGTACAAGAATGATGCCTGAAAGAAAATCTTTTATGAATACAATAAAAAGTGTTATGTTCTTACTTCATTCAGTACAAGTATCTGTACATTCAAATTTCTTGTGGCAAGCCACTTCAAAAAAGATTGCCATTTCAAGTGAAATAAAAAATTACAAATACTGTACTGTGTAGTATTATTATTGAAAACCCATCAATAAATGCAATGAAACGCCATTTTCTGGGTGAGACCCGAAGGCTCCCCAGAGCTATCCAGCTCTCCAGGCTCATACGGATATACAGTGGAACCTTTATTAACGAGTTTAATCCGTTCTGGCACCGAGCTCGTTACCTGGAAAACTCGTCTTAAGAAACAAATTTCCCCATTTAAAATAAAGGAAATAAATTTAATCCGTTCCACTCCCAAAAACATCCATACTTGTATGACTTTTTTTTATGTAAATATAATACTGCACATGTAAATATAAATGTTTTGTTGTAGTATTTTAATGTTTACTTTACCTTATGAAGAGTAGTTGCTGGCTTGAGGAAGACGATGGAGAGGTGGAAAGGAGGAGAGGGGTTATGGTGTGGAAGGAGAATCCACCTCTGAGTCAGGCGGACTCTCTCTTCTTGGGAATTTCACCCAAATTTCATTTCAAATGTCACACAAGGATGCGTTAGACCAGCACCAAAAAAAACTACGTCGATTACACTCGTTGTGTCAACAATATAATAGTCTTACCACGAAGATACAATACAATGCCATTCTCCCAAATAGGCAATGTGGTTATTAGAGAAAACGGAAATTTCATGGCAAACATGTATACAATCCCCAAGTCGATCGGATAAGAATTGGATTTTATAGAAATATTTGCTCAAATGACGCTTGAGCGGGGTGTTTGGGTGCATTCAAGAGAAAAAAGTGTGTCACGTTCAAGCGACATATATATACCTGCGAAAGTGATAACACTTTCACAAAGTATTATCACAAAGTGATAAATTAATTAAACATTTTCACACACCGGGTTGTCACTGCTTTATCAGGGCAGCTTTTCCAAGAATGCGTTCACCTTTTCAAACATTCCAAACACTTCCCTGATCTCAGTGGAAGAGGCAGCATCCTCCCTTACCTCCTCATTCACTTACTAATGGTGTAAATTGTTGATGAGGACCTGCCATACTTCCTTGTGAGATCAATCACACAGACACCACACTCATGCTTTGCTATAATTTACTTCTTCAAATCCACAGTAATTGTGTCTTTCTTCCTCTTGACAACACTATCTTTAGCAAGCAGCTTCTTTGGAGACATCGTGTGTTACAAATTGTAGTCGCAAAACCACTAAAAACCTAAAGAAAAGCTCAAAGAAATCCAGAGGGATGCTTGTTGTGTGCGATACAACAACAACACTGGCGTCGGAGGTGTCCGAGAATTTGCGGGAACCCGCGAGATGCTAGGAAGCACCATGTGGTTTTGCTCGTTAATAGAGGTGAGCTTGTCAATAGAGACAAATTTGCTGCGAGTGGCTTGCTCGTTACTGGAAAAACTCGTTAATAGAGCCACTCGTTAATCGAGGTTCCACTGTACAGTGAAACCCTGTGTTACGAGCGTCCCTGCTTACAAGTTTTTCAGGTTACGAGCCCGATTTGTTCGGAAAATTTGCATCAGGATACGAGCATTGCATCAGGTAATGAGTTTGTTGATACCCGTACAGGCCAACCTAGCGCATGGTGGCACAACGATCGCCCCTCACTTTACCAGTGCCTCGCGCCCAGTGTCTATCCCACCTGAATTCTTCACAAGGATTTACAGTTTTTTGTCAGATACTTGGCCATTTGAACATAAAAGTTATTATATATCTCGCAATGGGTCCCAAGAAAGCCAGTGATAAGGTTCAAGGCAAGAAATCGCATGTGAGAATGACAATAGAGGAAAAACAAGAGATCATTAGGAAGCATGAAAATGGTACTCGTGTTGTTGAACTAGCTAGGCAGTACAACAAATCTTTAGAGGAGGAAGAGGAGGCAGTAGAGAATGTCTCTTCCTCATTAATTAAGAAAATGTGTGCAGTATGGGAAGGTCTGCAAAGTTTTGCTGAAAAGAATCACCCAGATAAAGCTGTAGAAGGCAGTTGCATTGATCTTTTTAATGACAATGTGATGCCTCACTACAGACAAGTGTTGCAAAGAAGGGAAAAACAATCTTCAATGGAACATTTCCTTGTGAGAAAAGTGAGAAAATCAAGCAGTGAGCCACAACCAGGACCTAGTGGTATGCAGGCAAAACGTGCCAGAGTGCACTCCAGAAAAATCTTCACTGCCTGATGTTATAATGGAAGGGGACTCCCCTTCCAAACAGTAACACCTCTCCTCCTCCTCCCTCCTCACCATCTTCCATATGTCAACAGGAGTCATCAGCAAGGGTCAGTAATAACTTGAACATACTTTTGTAGTGTAGATTTGGATGAATTGGGTATAAAATTTAATTTGAAGTGGTATTTTTGGGTAGTCAGGAACGGATTAATTCATTTCCCATTATTTCTTATGGCGAAATTAGCTTCGGTTTACGAGTTTTCGGGTTACGAGCTAGCTGTCTCCAGGAACGGATTAAACTCTTAAACCGAAGTACCCCTGTATAAGACTTTGGCATCAGTCAATGTGAATTAGAGTTCTAGGCCTACCAGGGACCACAAGCCAGAACCTGGCCATCTCAGAAAGGCACGAGGAGAATGGCCTATAGAAATACACATGTGGTTATGGAGCATTCTATGTCTGCCATCTACTGGGTCAGGCACCCAGAAAGGTAAGCATTCCAAAACAAACCCTATTCTATCTTGAGGTTATCTTGAGATGATTTCGGGGCTTTTTTTTTAGTGTCCCCGCGGCCCGGTCCTCGACCAGGCCTCCACCCCCAGGAAGCAGCCCGTGACAGCTGACTAACACCCAGGTACCTATTTTACTGCTAGGTAACAGGGGCATAGGGTGAAAGAAACTCTGCCCAATGTTTCTCGCCGGCGCCTGAGATCGAACCCAGGACCACAGGATCACAAGTCCAGCGAGCTGTCCGCTCGGCCGGCCGGCTCCCTAAAGGGAGCCTTTCTAGGTGAAACTACTACTAAAAGTCAAACAGGTGGACAGAATGCCCCAAATAAAAATGAGCAAACGAACATGATGTCACCACATCGCCTCGACGCTTGTCTCCACAACCCCCACCCTCCTCTAGAGGGGAAAGAGGAAGCCTAGGACCCTTGCACCGGCGATCCACCCTGCAGTTCTGTGGCTGGATGTCAAAACAAGTGAAAAACCACTGACCGGAGGGAGGGGGGGAAGGTTGCCGGGGAGCCTTTGGGTCTCGCCCAGAAAATTGCTTTCATTACATTCAACGCTGGTTTTCTGGGGGAAGCCCCTTCGGCTCCCCGGAGCTACTTCGGAGCTACTTTACCAAAGATAAGGAAAAGAGGGATGCACCCAGGAGGCATTCGCCACGCGTGACTCAAATCAAAAGGCTAGACAACCAACGGTACCAAAGGACCCCAGGAAACCCTGGGTTATGGAGCAAGGGGACTCCCTTGCCCGAACTCCCTTGCCAAGGGGACTTGGCAGGACTCCCTCGCCCGAACTCCCTTGCCAATGGGACTTACCCTTGCTGATGACTCCTGTTGACATATGGAAGATGGTGAGGAGGGAGGAGGAGGAGAGGTGTTACTGTTTGAAAGGGGAGTCCCCTTCCCGAACCCAAACCCAGGAACTGGGAAGACGGGAAACCGGGGCAACCAAAAGCATGTTCCCAGACACAGAAGCCGAGGCGCACAAATAACGGCAGAGAGCCGCAACGGGACACAACACATGAAGCACCTCCGGCCTAACCAACCAAGCATCAATAACCCAAGGACCCCTCCTGAAAACAGCAGACTCATACCGCCCAAAAAAAGTCAGCCACCACCGAACAAACCTATCAAAAGAACCAAATGAGCAGAAACCCGTGTGCCAGAGGAGAGCATGAAGCTGCCTGACCAGACCCGCATAGGAAAATGCCAACAGGAAAAAGCCGGAGAGAAACAAACCTGACCGAAGGCGCCACTAGAAACTGAGGAGAAGAGAGGAGCCAGTCGACCGAGTGGACAGCACGCTGGACTTGTTATCCTGTGGGCCTGGGTTCGATCCCAGGCGCCGGCGAGAAACAATGGGCAGAGTTTCTTTCACCCTATGCCTCTGTTACCTAGCAGTAAAATAGGTACCTGGGTGTTAGTCAGCTGTCACGGGTTGCTTCCTGGGGGTGGAGGCCTGGTCGAGGACCGGGCCTTGGGGACACTAAAAAGCCCCGAAATCATCTCAAGATAACCTCAAGAACACCAGATCCAAAAACCAGGACGGCTCAGGCGGCGTATGAGCAGGCCAGAAGTGAAACAACGCACGAGACAGCTTGCAAAACGGTGCCGAAGGAACATCAACCCCGAACGTAAGCTGCAGTGGCTTCGTAAGTGCCGCACGATAAGAGGCAACAGTATTTGGCAGAAGATGACGGTCCTGAAACAACAACGATAGAAAGGACAATACCATTGCATCAGAAACCGAAAGAAACCTACGAAGGGACAAGAAAAAACGGCAGGCCTACCAGGAAACTTCATACTGACACCGAGACGAAGCACGCAGTTGGGACACCACCAAAGAAACCTCCTGATCACCATACAAACAGTGATAGACTCGACTCAAAAAGACCAGACGCGAAAACTCAAGGAGAAGATTAAACCAGCCATGTAGCAGACCGGGCCGATCCCCCGAAAGAGGCGGAACCGTGGAAAGACCCATGGGTTCGGACACCGAGCAAGCAGCGCCTGAAACCAAGGCTGGGCCTTCCACCAAAGGCCAAGAAGACAACTCTTCCATGGTAAGTCTCTCAGCAGACGAGTTACCCGAAACGACCAGCCCCAAAGAGCCAAAGACCGCATCGAACCCCTGCAGTACAGGCAATGAACCACCAGGGAGCAGTCTGAAAGGAGCCTGATCACTGATCCGCAAGTGGCCCCCCACTATCTA